ATCCATTCAAAACAATTTAGGGGACCAAATCATGCTCAGCACATCACATATCAAATGTATCAAAACTGATGCACAAAATATACTTCCATCCTACGCTCGTGTGCAACTATTCGTACCTATGAGATATATTTTTAGTAGAAAGGAAGAATTGAAAGTGCTATGAAGTGCCATTTTGGATCCTTGCGGTAAAACCCGCCGTTGGTGCGACGGCCGTGGGTGAAGTGGTGAGTGTCTGGACAGTCAAAACGCCTTCGCTTTCGTGCGTATGCAATACGGACATCCATGGAGCCCGAATAGTTGCATCCAGGAGTTAAATTGAGTGTTCGAGCGCATTCTACATATACTGATTGAGGGAGCTTTGCTTGTTTTTCTTGCGCACCGTGACTTAATTCCAGCGTTGTTTGTTATGCTGTTGAAGAAATATTGTTGATTTTTATCGCGACATTGTCAATTTTCCGAATAATGCTTTGATTTTTTTAATATGTAACAACGTTGCCGTCCTAAAATATGGGCTGCACAGCTACCGTCCCTTCCTTCTCTTTTTTTTTTTTTTTTTTTTTTTTTTTTTTTTTTTTTGTTATATGCATTAAAGTCGGTTCAAATAATTGTCTCAGTTGGTCCAGAACTTATTTTCGACGTTGAAAATCGGAAAAATCTTGCCACGTTCAGATCTCCACCGTCATCTCATTTGTATACCTTGGTCTAAAACTAGGAGCAGAGAAGCCACCATATAATTCTAAAACTCACGCCTTCTAACTTACGAAAACTTCCACCAACACGCCACTGATATTCGCGGCCTTAGTCATCCCATTTTAAGTTGTTGATTTAATGTTTCACCATCAAGTCGAATTGGACTTCAGACTGTGAGCACGCTGATAGAATCTTTCAACGGGCCAAACAGACCGCTCTCAGCAGAAAGGAGTCAAGCCACATTAGCTATCGTCAAATTGAACTGAGCAATTATATTTTTTACAAGAGAACGCTTGTGCGGACTCCTTTGAAATTTTTGAAACATTTGCTTCGCACTATGCAGACAATTCACTGAAATTTGCACAAAAAATCCGCGAAACCGTTTTCGTGTAAAAAATGTAATTGCCCCCTCAAGTTTGGCAGAATCTGACGTGGCTTGGTTCCTTTCTGCTAAGCGCTGCCCAAATATGGATATTTGTGATATCGCAGACATAATCAGTAGAGTTTGACAACAACTCATCGCTTGGCAGACATAAGGGCGTAACTGCACATTGAGATGAGCCCGGAAAAGCATTGAAACGTATGGAAGACAGTCACATTGTATCGTGCAGTTACGCCCTTATGTAAGGTAGGCGACGAACTGAACGGTAGACGCGGATGCAGGACGAGCGATGGGATGCTCGAGCGAGTGGCTAGGATAATGCACTTGAGCAGGTCAGTTGCCAGACGCCGGATCTCGACTCCGTCCAGTTCGTAATGGATTTGGATCCGATTCCTCACCTTCATACCCTTTCAAACTGACAATTTGACATACGGAGACGGCCCGGAGGTTACACTCCGCTGTTTACTCTTGTCAATCCACTCCTCCGCCTCGATTCCCTTGCTGTAACCCGAACGAACTGAACAAGTTATCTGTGTCACGAGAGAAAAGGGGCTTCCCCTTTTTCTCTCGCAGGGGAAACGAGAGGAAGAGAAAAATAATGGAATTTGTATTTCCTCACAAATTTTCTTTTCTTTTGACGCGGCGCACAGTGGATCGAGTCAATAGGAGGAATCGGACAAAATTTGAAAACTTTAAACGCGAATAACTCCTTTTATACAAAGCTTTGAGGTTCTTAAAGTGATTCCATTGGTTTTCTCGTAAAATTTTCTACCCTATGCACCCCGTAAAATGTAAAATGTGACGAGGTAATTACCAAAATTTGCAGTTTTAGTCAACAATTTCATGTCCAACCTTTCTAATTGACTCGATCCACTGTGCGGCATTACAGCGTGATGGTCATCATAGTATATGACCCTGCGGCTATCACACAATTATTATTGGCGTCGGACCCCTCCCCCCCTCTTCTCCCTAAAAAGAGGTCAGTAGCAGCGTTCGACAACATGTGGACCCAAATCTAAGCACAGAGCCTTTCTTTCCATCTTTTATACAAGTATCTGGTCCGAGCCTAGATTTGTACTTAAAATTGAACACTTCGCACCTCCGCCAGAAAATGGACAAACGCACGCAGCAATTCGATAAAGAAGCGGTAGAAAGTTTGAAATGGTCGTTTTACGATTTGCTGAATGAACCAATATTTCAAATCAAGGAAAATTCATTGAAGCGAGATCTGAAAATTTCGAAATCTATCAATGGTCTTCATTGGAAATTATTTTCCCCTAAAAATCACTGAACAAATTTGTATATTTTTAATGGAAATTTGGCGACGTCTACAATTTCTTACAGCGTTCTTCTTTGGTGTAGTTTTTTACCGTCATATTAAGGTATGCATTTCCATTTATCATTGAATATTTTTTATTCTTTTTCTTTCCTCTCACTACGGAGATTCAGAAAATGCGATTGTCGAAAAGAGGGCGTTCCGTTTGTTTTCTAACACGGCCTTCAAAAAAATAATACCCGTAAAATAAAAGCTTTTAGCGAAAAAGACCACTTTAAATTTATTTCAGCAATTTTGGCGACTGGGCTTATCGTTTGCGATCCTGCGAAACTATTGATCTCTTTTTAACGATTTTTACGATTAGTTTTCGATTAGAGGTGAGCGGACGTTTTACAGAGGTATGTCTTATTCAACAGCAAATCCGGTATCCCTCCCCATAGGATGATCTTGAGTTTAAATAAATCATTCAGCCTGGTATTCTTGGTTTTATGACTAACGTTGTTCCGTTAGGACATAATATAATTTGAGTTTATAAAAATAACCTTAGTCATCTCAGAGGTGGGCTGGTCCGATCTTTGCTAGAGTCGTTTTTCTCATTGAAAGAGGCTGAAAAACATTTTAGGCGCATCAGGAAAGTCTGAGATTCACGACATCTTCACATTCTGCCGAAAATTTTCGCATTTTGGAGCTTCTCACTTCGTATAGTTGCAACCCAGTTTCATAATTTCACGTAAAACTGAAAAGGGCTGCCTTTTCAATTTTTCAATTGATGAAAACAAACAAAATTAGAAACATCCAGTAATCCGACAGTTTCTCTTAACTTTCCTGCTCTTCACATTAGTTTACCAAAAGAGAACTAGAATTATACTTAGTTGGTCAATTCTATTAGAGACATTCAGCATCTCAGTCCTATTAATGTCTTTAGAAAAAATATGAAGGGTATGAGCATATACAAAAATTTAGATTCATAGTACATTTAGTGAGTAGAATACATATCGACGGTGCAAGTCGGCAATCACATAACTCGTTTGCGGGTCTGAAAATCTCCGCAACTATGTTATTTTTCCAAAGGAGAACAAATGGACATGATTCCTTGAAGTTTTTGCAGAATTTTCCTCGCACATAGAAGAAAAATCACGGAAGTTTTAAAGAATTACCGTTGAGTAGTTTTCCGTTAAAAATAAAGTATGACAGGAAGTCTGCGACGTCGCAAACCGAGTTATGTTGCAGACTTTCAGCGTCGATATACATATAGTGAGTAGGAGACACCCAGTATGTATATGTATGCACATAGTAAGGAGAAAGATGATTAGATTTTATGTTTTATTGATTTGACGAGTACTTAATACATATAGTGATCATTTTGTGTGCTCGGCACTTAATGGCCTGACAGTCAGGGCTGTGCCGGTGTACCTGTGTTGCTGTTTTTTTTGAGAAACTATAAGTCATAGTATCATATGACGGCGACAATTTTTAGTACTGCGTGGAGTTGTGAAACCAGGGTATCTCATCTGTATTAATTTATGTCTTTGTCGTGGTGTACTTTTTGAAGCGGAAATCTAAAAAAATCGCAAATTTCTCACGCGGACTATGACGTTAGGAATGAATTTTAAACTTTCCTGATGCGCTCATCGTATGATGTCCAGTTTTCCTATCAGACACAACTCTTCTGTACGCTTTATCAAAAGTTTTCAAGAAACTCATTTCTGATATGACCGAGGTTATTTATAGGCGGATTTTTATATGATTTGAATGTCATCGCCGGCAATTTCTCATCCGGCTGTTCAGTGCGGAAAACGCGTGACTCACGGCGGTCTGCGGTGTGGTAATCAATTCAAGTACGCACATCCATCTGACGAATCCGGCAGTTTTTTCTAATTTTATCACGCTGCATCAATCAACATGATGTTCGAGGGTCATAATATGTCAAAACAGTTTGTCTGCGACATGCTTCAGCCGGTTGTAGAACAAATTATGTTTATAAATATGAAAAGGACGATCTTGTTTTCAACTCTCTGGAAAATTTGACATTTCGGGGATAAGCAATTGTCGACATCGGTCATCAAATTGTAACATGATAATTTCGTGTCACAAATATTTCATCTCGTCTTTTCGTGATATTTTCACTGAAAATATTGTCCGTAGTGATAGTTTTCAATTGAAGCGCTGAGTGCAGAACGAGCATTTCTTGATCGCGGTGTCTCAAAGACTTCGCCAACATTTCATTCACTATATTTAAAGCTAATGTATAGAATTCGTTGAGCCTTTTACTGAATTTTCTTAATGATTTTACGATGCTGAAAACGAAAACTTTCAGAAAATGCACTGAATAGTTTCCGCTGTAAAATATAAATTAGCAGTGATGATATTGAGACATTGCAACCAAGAAATGTCCTTTCTGTACCCAACGCCTCAATTGCGATCCCATCGCAATAAAAAGCAATGTTTGATTCCGATTGAAATTCAATGAATTGCGATTGATAAGAATTTCCAAAATCTTCCTATCAATAAAAATTTAAGTTGCAAACACTTATTGCGAATATAAGCCACGAACATAAGTTGCGACATATCGCGATCAAAACAACTTCCTTAAGAAAGAGGAACTGTAAAGTAGGTGAGATGAGAGATGCTCGAAACGGCAAGGACACTTACTTCCGTTTAATTTTTCGACTGCCGGGATCACTTTCTAAGCTGCTTGAAACATCTCTGAAACAAACAGCAATAAAACCAAATTATCACGTGTACATAGAGGAGAGCGACGAAATATCAGGTGCCTAACAGGCTTTTGAGATTGCGGCAACATGACTAATCTTAGCTAAAATTCAAAAAGAGCACACTTGTCGAGCGCACCGTAAATGAAATGTGTTTTTAATAATCTCTCTGAGTTTCCAGTTCCTGCGGCCGGTTCAACCACCCCGTTCGTCATTACCTTAATTCTAGAGAACGTCCAGAAGAGCAGACCGTCCACCACTGCACGCGTGAGTAGCATTCCAGGATGTAATTAGACAGCGAACTTGGAACTATTAAACTAGATATCCTATTTCGCTCCAATTAGAGATTATTAGAGTTGAATTTTTTCTCTTCCTCTCTCAACGCATTTGATGTAGACACGAAAGTAATATGCTACTTTCATCTTGCAGTACAACTAGGAACGTCCTTGCAATGGCGAGAAGCCCAGCATCCATCAGAGGAGCATGTTACCATTCTCGAAGTGGATACGGGAGATTAGGTACCCAACTCATCAGACTGGACCAGCCACTGACCTCTGCTTAAACTGTCCAAGTTTTTTTTCTTCCTCTTCTTTTTTTAGAGTACTACACATTGCAATCCCAAAGTTTAGCTGGAGATGTTCAACAATATTGATTCGGAGACGTAAAAGGCAAAAATTTATGAATGAAAGAATTAATTCATTTCGACGATCAAACTACCAAACCGCGTAGCTCGTTTGCTTTGTTGAAACAATTCCGCTTCCATTTTCTTTTTTTAAAGGAGAACAAATCAACATCATTTTTTGAATTTTTTCAGAATTTGCTTCGTACAACGAGGAAAATTCGAGGAGGCTCCCAAATATGGACATTCAGTATCTCCATTAAATCATGAAGTATAAAAGGAAATCTGCAACGTCGCAAACCGAAATACGTGGTTCAATTCTTTATCGTTAGTTGCAAAATAAAAGTTTGGAGTTCAAAGAAAGCTTTCCACTTGACGTTGAATGAACAAGTAAAAAGATATCTTGATCTCTTCATTTTCATATCTCAAGGAAGGATTCTGATGTTGACAAGCTCAAATTTGCGTTGTAGTTAGAAAAAATTTCTTTTAATTTCATGTGTGCTGAATGCGTTTTGAATCTATACATATTTTGAAAGCTCGCGCGTGCTCCAAAAAAAATGTCCAAACTGACGTCAATGACCACGGCATTAACCAAAATCCACAATTGCACTCGGCCACACTTCGACAGAAAATAAGTATTTCACCCAATAACAACGTTTATCCTGTTCATATGCTTACTAACTTATATAGTAAACTCCCGGAAACTTAGGCGTTTCTTCAATTCAATTTCAATCTGACCAGGATTTGGGACTTCGATAACAGATTTTTGTGGAGGAATACGTATCATCATTTTCAAAGTACGGGTATTTTTTGAGTCTTGGTGGATAATTTCAACTCGAGAATGTAACGGTCGTCTCAAAACCACTTTGAATGCGCTTCTTTCCCGCGCTTCGATTTTAACCGTTACGGGAGCCGCATGCATCACTGTTTCCAACCTCAACCGCAATTTCTGCGTATTACCGAGCTGAGGTAGGTATAATATGAAAATTCACCGCCTCATCACTAATAATATCATTATTTCAAGTATTTTAAGTAAGCTCAGAATGAAAATGAGGCTAAAATCGAGAGGACCACTTTAAATCAAATCTCTTCCCACCACGCATGGATTCTCGTGCTCATTTACACTCACACACACGGGGGAGGGGGGAGGGGAGTCAGAACGGCCTCAGCCTCACCGCTGCGCTGCACTATCTTTCAAGGGTGAATATGTCACGGGAGTAGACAAACATGGAGGTAAGGATTCAATTTTGCTGAAATACTCATTAGCTGTTCACTCCTAAAAAATCCGTTTGCAGAACCAACTTGAATTTAAGCTCAGAATATAGGAATGCAAAAATTAAGGGGGTCAAATCATACTGACTAGTGCAGCAAGTGATATTGGAGCTCTTGCATGTGTCAGGAATTTGCGCTTTAAGTACTAATTCCTATGTAAAATTTCGCGAGAAACACAATGGTGGTACTGGTTTTCAAACTATGGTTTCCAACGTTTCCTTAATGGAAAAGATATCTCACGCTATCCTTAGAGTCCACCTCTACATCGATTCAAACTCTATATACGAATAAAGGAGGCAATGCATTAACAGGGTTTCGACTTCGTTTGAGAACTCTAAAACTGTAAACACGTCAACCCTGTCAATGTATTTGCTCCCTATCTTTGCATGGAGAGTTTAACTGGATAAAGAGGTGGACTCTCAGAATTGCGTTGGAAATCCTCCCCCCATATCGATCTCAACTTTGGAGCTTTTTTGAGCCTTAAAGTTCGTTTTAGAGAAAAACAGTGGCACCATCGTTGTTAATCACAAAATTCTACATAGGAATCGGCGCTTGAATCGCAGATTCCTGACACATATATACAAGAGATTGGCAAATTCAGCAAGCGGCATAGGGGGCGCACATCTACCCCCTCCCTCCCCCGTCCGCTTGAAAGAGGAGAAAGAAAAAAGAAGCAAGAAAGAAGGAAGGAACGGAGATAAGGAGAAGGAAAGACGCTTACGCACTTGGTAATTATTCATGACGAAATTGACTCAAACTGCGCATTGGATGCTTCAAGAATTCAACCATTTTTCGGGGGAGGCCCGCAGGCCCCCCTTACGCCCCTGCCTCCCCCCCAGTTCGATGTGTCTAGATCCGCCCACGATGCGAGAGCTCATACTATACTTACTGCACTTACTTGCTTTCTGAGGAGGATGCTAAGGTTCAGCCCTGTAAGATGGCTGACTCACACAAAAATGGATCTTTTGGTAGATATATTCGCGCCCTGAAGATGTATATTCTACATGTAGAGGTGTCGCTTTAGACACTGAGTTGAAAAGGAGAGGCCTGGACGAGAATTTCTGGGCTCAGAGATTTTTTAAGTAAAACAAAAGGGTACAACAAGGGTACAAGGGTACAAGGGGGTTACAGCGCCATTGTTGAGAGTATAATAGTTTACGTTAATTACAAAATTTATCGCAAGAGAAAGTGCTAGAATCGCAAATCCCCCCCCCCCCACACACACCCTCACACACAAGAGCTCGAACGTCAAAAGTTGGCAACAACCCCTTTTCGCCCCGAGGCACCGCCATCAATGGCGAGGCGTGAATGATCGATTATCGATATTTCCCTCATTTAAAGCTACGGTATAGAATCGATTATTGAGGCGTTCGCTACGAACACTCTGTTCATCGATCCTTTTCCAAAGGTTTAATTGGAGGATCAATCGGACGTATTTCTATCAAACAGAACTATGTGTATTATGACGTGAGCCCTGTTATGCACATATTCTTATGGGTCTCAGGGCTCATGTCTTAATGCACATAGTTCCGTTTGATAGAAATACGTCCAATCGATAAATCACAAATCACGCCACACCACTGACCGTCATCTGTTTTTATCACAAGGGTCTGGGTGGGACCCAGTGTACTCCAGCTGGATGCATTCGGGTGATGGCGCGTCTGGACGAGGTTGAGAAAGTGTGGGTGTGAGACAAGCGATCTGGCACAGTGTCGAACTGGGAGCAACCCAAGAAGTTGGCCATCGAGGCGAGCGCGTGTGAATATTCTCAGTTCCGATACCGTTAAGTTCAGATCACGGCCGGATCAGACTCCGACACTGGCTGATCCTTCCAACAACGTTGCCGATGCTGGGGGGCCGATGCGCCGAGGCTCCTCCTTCTGGAGCCGGAGATCGGGTATCAGGCTCCTGTGAGCATCCATTCAACGGCATGCTGCACACGACCAATAGACTCATTCAGAGGCTACGTCATTCGATAGAAGTTCGAACTTATGGTTCAAACCAAAACAAACTAAAATAACCTCATGTACGAGTCTTCATGGGTTCCTCTTTTTCTTCTTTTTCTTCTTTTTCCGAAGACTACTCGGAAAAAAAAGTGTCTGGGGTTATCCCCCAAAATTATTCTACTACCCAAATTTGTATGATGATATGGACATTTCCAATTAATTTTGGGAGTACCGCAACATTTAGGTTAGTAACCTAATGTATTGGGATACTACCACAATAATTAATTGGGATACTACCACAATAAATCGGAGTATTACCACAATTGATTGGGAATGCCCATATCATCCAACAGTTAGGACTTAACCCCTACCTCTTTTTTTCCGTGTAAGGCATAGCCCTATTTGTCAGGCCATTAAGTAATGAGCACCAGAAACTATATATAAGTATTAAAAATCTAAAAATCATTTAAAATAAAAGACTCATCAAATCGATAAAAACAGAATAAAATCGTCAATTATCCTCAGGAGAAGAGAGCCGCATCTTTTTGCCTATCTCTTAGGCGGTGGTCCAGGTAATCTTTCTCCCATGGGTTGTCCGGTCATACAAATTTTCGCTTCATGATGACAATTTTCTTCATGAGTCAATTGTGTTGATTTATTAGAATTTAGTCATTGATCATAAATCTATTAAAAATTCATTAAGCACGAGAAAGTTTGATTCTAAGAGACTCTTGGACGCATGTTACCACCAGGGCCGGATTTACCTACTTGCCGCCCGTGGGCCGCCTGTATTTTGCCGCCCCATACATTTTTTTGGGAAAGCCCTGGCAACACTACTAGCAAAAGTTCACGGAACTTTGCGCGAAATTTAAGTTTCGTAAACCTATCTCTGTGTGGACAAGGTCTTCCATTCCTAAGAAATGAACGAAAAAATTATGAAAGAACAAACATAAATGTGGATTAATGATTTAACTTCCGCCGCCGCGCCGCGCAGACCGCACCGCATTGGACGCAATGCGTGAAGTATTCGTGCAGTCTTGTAGGCGCTATGCGTTTCACGCTGATCGCACTGTGTTTGCCGCAATGCGTGAAGTATTCATGCATTCTTGTAGGCGCTATCCGGTTCACGCTGCGCTGACCGCAATGCGCAATGACCGC